GAACAATGACCTTGTTATTGTCTTTATTTGGAGATCAGGTATGGTTTAAGGAGATGTGCATGGATGCCAAGTTGACAGGGGGTGGATTTGTGAGGTTTATGCGCCACGGTGTGCCCAGATATCTGGTTAAACATTATTCTAACTGTGCACTGAGGGTTTCTGGATGAGATGAACATTTGAATGGGTAGCTGAGTAAAGCGGGCTTCCCTCCCCAGTGTGGCTAGGCCTCAGCCAATTCACTGAAGGCCTGAATACAGCAAAAAGGCTGAGTGAGCAAAGGAAGAATTTGCTCTCCGTCCCTGACTGTCTTCAAGCTGGGACATCAGTCTTCTCCTGCGTTTGGATGGACTTGGGCTCAGACTGGAACTTACACAACTGGCAATCCTGGGTCTCCAGCTTGCTGAATGCAGATCTGGGGACTTCTCAGCATCCATAATCACGTGAGCCAATTCCTTACAATAAAACTATATACCTGAATCTACATAAACAGATCTGGTCCTGTTCCATATATACATACTGGTCTGTTTCTCTGGAGAACCTGCTAACGCTAGAGCTCTGCAGAAGGAAACGGATATGGAAATCCTAACATGGTCTTTTTCATCTCAGCCTTGGTGCCACACTTTTCATTTCTGCAAGAGTGCAGAAGGTTTCATATAGTCACGGATGTTGGTGCTTAAGGAAACGAGTGGGCTGAAGTGCCGTGAGACTGGAGACCCAGGAGAATACTAACGCCTCCCCTACCAATCTTGAAGGACAGTTGTGAAAATCAAGTAAGATAACCGAGGTGTCTCTGTGCTGTGACTCATTTAATTGGGATTCCTTGGTGAATTCATGGGGAGAAAAAGAAGAGGCTGGACACAACTGCTGTTGTCACCATCCTCATCTTCAACAGCAGGAGGTAAATGGCACCTAAATAACCACCCTTTCCCCCAGCTTCCTCAGCCCATTCACTACCTAAGCTTCAGTTCAGGTCAAGAAACCAGTCTTTTGAGGCACAACTGCCTCTGGGACAGGTTAAGCCCAACTGTCATTCACACTTTAATGTTAAGTGCTGTAGTTAAATAAACTACCCTCGCTGAAAAAGGTATTTAGGAGGACAGGAGGAACAGCCTCAGCAGGCTCCTGGTCTCCTACCCCTGGACTGAGGAGACCTGGGTTTCTGGAAACCTGACTTTGGTTCTCCATTTCCCATCTGTGTGAAAGGGGGCTGGACTGGATGATTTCAGAGGCATTTTCGAAGCTCAGATGGTGATGGGTGGCTCTTCCCCTCAAACAGCACCTGCAGGCTCCCTCCTGCTCCGGGTGTCACCACAGCAGCCTCTCTGCTCCTCAGCGGCCTTCCCCGGCCCTGCTCACCGCTATCTCACTCCCTCCCCAGAATCTGCTGCACTGGAACCATTTATACGGCCCGGCTCCCCAATCAGCCAGCACGTTCTGGATTCCCCAGCACCCAGGCAGGTCCCGGAACCCAACAGACTCTTCCAACACAAGGTACATGGTCACGGCCGCCTGGCGCTGCCAAGCTGAGTGTAGGCCCTGGCTGCTGTGCAGGGCAGGACCAGGGTCACCCCTCCGTGCGCCACCCTCCATGATGGGGCCACTGGGAGTGAGAGCAAGTGGGTACAGCTGGGCTGGGCTGAATGGCACTGCACCAAGGTAACCATAAATGATAAGATAGTCAAAAACTGTTCCTCACCTCAGGGAACAGTTCCAAAGTGATTCTATTAAGACACCACCACCCTGATACCAAAACCGGACAAAGACACCACCAAAAAAGAAAATTACAGGCCAATATCTTTGATGAATATAGATGCAAAAATTCTCAACAAAATGTTAGCAAACCAAATACAACAACATATAAAAAAGATCATACACATGACCAAGTGAGATTCATCCCAGGGTAACAAGGATAATTCAACATACACAAATCAATGTGATACTCCACACCAACAAAAGACAAAAACCACATGATCATCTCGACAGATGCAGAAAAAGCATTTGTGATAAAAACTCTTATCAAAGTGGGTAAAGAGGGAACCTATCTCAACATAATAAAAGTTATTTATGACAAACCCACAGCCAACGTAATACTCAACAGTGAAAAGCTGAAAGCCTTCCTGCTAAAATCTGGAGCAAGACAAGGTTGCCCACTCTCACCACCTCTATTCAACAGAGTACTGGAAGCCCTAGCCACAGCAACTGGACAAGAAAAAGAAATAAAGCATATCCAAATTGGAAGGGAAGAGGTAAAACTGTCATTATATGCAGATGACATAATGCTATTTATAGAAAACCCCAAAGAATCCAGGCAAAAACTATTAGAACTGATAAACGAATTCAGCAAGGTAGCAGGATACAAGATTAACATACAGAAACTGGTTGCATTTATTTACACTAACAATAAAATATCAGAAAGGGAAAGTAAAAAAAAAAAACCCTTTTAAAATCACATCAAAAAAATAAAATACAGGATTTCCCTGGTGGCACAGTGGTTAAGGATCCGCCTGCCGATGCAGGGGCCACGGGTTTGATCCCTGCTCCAGGAAGATCCGACATGCCATGGAGCAACTAAGCCCATGCGCCTCAACTACAGAGCCAGCACTCTAGAGCCCTCGAGCCACAACTACTGAGCCCACGTGCCACAACTACTGAAGTCCGCACGCCTAGAGCCCGTGCTCCGCAACAAGAGAAGCCACCCCAATGAGAAGCTCGCACACCACAACGAAAAGTGGCCCCCGCTCGCCACAACTAGAGAAAGCCCACGCGCAGCAACGAAGACCCAATGCAGCCAAAAATAAAATAAAATATTAATTAATTAAAAAATACTCAGGAATAAACCTGACCAAGGAGGTAAAAGACTTGTACCCTGAGAGCTATAAACACTGATAAAGGAAACTGAAGATGATTTAAAGAAATGGAAAAATATCCCATGTTCTTGGATTAGGAGAATTAACATTGTTAACATGGCCATACTACTCAAAGCAATCTACTGATTTAATGCTATCCCTATCAAATTACCCATAACATTTTTCACAGAACTAAGACAAATAGTCCTAAAATTTACATGGAACCATAAAAGACCCAGAATTGCCAAAGCAATCCTGAGGAAAAAGAAGAAAGCTGGTGGCATAACCCTCCCAGACGTCAGACAATACTATAAAGCTACAGTAATCAAAATAGCATGGTATTGGCACAAAAACAGACATATGGATCAATGGGACAGAATAAAGAGCCCAAAAATAAACCCATACACCTATGGTCAATTAATCTCTGACAAGGGAGGCAAGTACATACAATGGAGAAAAGACAGTCTATTCAGCAAGTGGTGCTGGGAAAGTTGGACAGCTGCATGTAAATCAATGAAGCTAGAACACTCCCTCAAACCATACACAAAAATAAACTCAAAATGCCTTAAAGACTTAAATATAAGACATGACACCATAAAACTCCTAGAAGAGAATACAGGCAAAACATTCTCTGACATAAATCGTAGCAATGTTTTCTTAGGTCAGTCTCCCAAGGCAATAGAAATAAAATCAAAAATAAACAAATGGGACCTAATTAAACTTATAAGCTTTTGCACAGCAAAGGAAACCATAAACAAAATGAAAAGACAACCTATGAACTAGGAGAAAATATTTGCAAATGATGTGATTGACAAGGTCTTAATTTCCAAAATATACAAACAGTTCATACAACTCAATAACAACAACAATAAAAACCCAATCAATAAATGGGCACAAGACTTAAATAGACATTTCTCCAAAGAAGACACAGAGATGGCCAATAGGCACATGAAAAGATGCTCAACATTGCTCATTATTAGAGAAATGAACATCAAAACTACAGTGATGTGGGGCTTCCCTGGTGGCACAGTAGTTGAGAATCTGCCTGCCAATGCAGGGGACACGGGTTCGAGCCCTGGTCTGGGAAGATTCCACATACCATGGAGAAACTAGGCCCGTGAGCCACAACTACTGAGCCTGCGCGTCTGGAGCCTGTGCTCCGCAACAGGAAAGGCCGCGACAGTGAGAGGCCCACACACCACGATGAAGGGTGGCCCCTGCTCGCCGCAACTAGAGAAAGCCCTCGCACAGAAACGAAGACCCAACACACCCAAAAATAAATAAATAAATTTATAAAAAACAAACAAACAAACAAAAAAACTACAGTGAGGTACCACTTCACACCAGTCAGAATGGCCACCATTTTAAAAATCTACAAATAACGAATGCTGGAGAGGGTGTGGAGAAAAGGGAACCTACACTGTTGGTAGGAATGTAAATTGGTGCAGCCACTATGGAGAACAGTATGGAGGTTTCTCAAAAACTAAAAATAGAGTTGTCCTATGATCCAGCAATCCCACTCCTATGCTTATATCCAGACAACAGTATAATTCAAAAAGATATATGCACCCCTATGTTCACAGCAGCACTATTTACAATAGCCAGGACATGGAAACAACCTAAATGTCCAATGACAGATGAATGGATAAAGAAGATGTGGAACATACAAACAATGGAATACTACTCAGCCATGAAAAAGAATGAAATAATGCCATTTGCAGCTACATGGATGGACCTAGAGCTTATCATACTAATTGAAGTCAGAAAGAGAAAGACAATGACCATATGCTATCACTTATATGTGCAATCTAACATATAACACAAATGAACTTACTTACAAAACAGAAACGGTCGCAGACATAGAGAACAGACTTGTGGTTGCCAAGGTGGAGAGGAGGCGTGAGAGGGTTGGACTGGGAGTTTGGGATTAGCAGATGCAAACTCTACTACATATAAAACGGATAAACAACAAGTCCTACTGCACAGCACTGGGAACTATATTCAGTATCCTGTAATAAACCATAATGGAGAAGAATATGAAAAAGAATATATAACATATATAACTGAATCACTTTGCTGTACAGCGGAAACTAACACAACATTGTACATCAACTTCACTTCAATTAAAGAAACAAACGGAAAACTGCTGCTCACCTCTGATCCCGACGAAGACGGTCAGGCCGAAACAGACGAAGAAGACGATGAACACGAGGACAAAGTGGCGCTTGGAGAGCGTGTACAGCCGCATGGGCGCCAGCCTGCGGGGAGAAGCCGGGGTGAGGGGCGGCAGGGCGAGGGCCGCCCCCACCTGCGAGCCCTCGCCTCCGAGGAGGACCTCTTCTCAATCCAGGTGACTCAGCTGACAAAACCACCTAAATAACCTCAGTGACCACCGCTGGGGTGGGGGCCATTCCGGTATGTTCTGGGCCTGGCTCCCCGTGCCGCAGGGGGCCAGGCAAACCCCACCCTTGTGGCAGGAGAAGGCGCTTCAAAGCCCACTCGGGGCACGTTCGCCAGGCCACAGAGCGGGGCTGAACCCCTCCACACCCCCGATTTCAGCAGCTAAAGCACAGTCCAGGGGCAGGGAGGACCCTAACTCCTCACACGCAGATGCCACGGTCAAGCCCGGACTGGGGGTTCCAGGAGCCCCGGAATCGTATGTCCTAGCCATCTTCCCGCCAGCCCCCAGCTTTGTGTTTCCTGTCCAGGGCTCCCCCCATCACTGGCCTCACCCGTCGTGGTGAAGCTCAGCCTGGCCTTCACTTGGGGTCTGCTTTTGATGCAACTCAGCAAGCTGCCGCGGTTTTCTGCGAGTGACACCGATATGAAAGCGATTCAGAGGATGCGTCCTAACACCCTAGCATCGGCTCCCTCCTATTCATCCCTACTTCCTTCTTTGGTCAGAAGAAAATGGTGGTGGGGTAGGTCTCACTTCTCTTTTAGAACTCCCTACACCAGGAGCCGGGAAACAAAAGGGAAGTCTGTGAAGGACAGACATAAACGCTGGAGAGTGGCAGGTCCTCAACGCTGCCCCTACGGGCAGCCCCAGACAGGCTGGAACGCAGGCGCAGGCCCAGCTCCAGTTCCCCTGAGACAAAGGGGAGGCCGGCCCCCCACCCCGTAGCCCCGCCGAGGAGACTCAGAGCTCCGAGAGATGAGAGCCAGGGGGGTGTTCTGTCTTGCTTTGCTCCCGACGTCCTCTTCCGTGCCCAGCACTTCCTGGTCTGAGGAGCTGAGCGGGCAGGAGGAATTTCTCGTGCCTGCCTCTCGGGAAGGTGACAACTGCCCCCCACCGGGAGGGGGAGAATGGGGCTCTGAACCGGAAAGGGAGGGAAGGCTGTTTGCTCTTGCGGTATCAAGTTCACGGCCGTGTGCACATGCACACCCTCTCCCTTACACGGCCAAGGCAGCCGTCCCCCCCGAGCTGGAAACCAGCTGGGCGGCATCTCAGGGCAAAGGTGGCCCTAAGTCTCTCTGACGTGGCTTTGCTGACACTGAGTCAGCGCTCTCCTGTCAGGCCCGGGTGAGTGAACTTTCAGATCGGCATTCCCATGCTTCACTGGGTGACGGGACCAGTGAAGAAATAAAGGAACCAGTGTCTTTCCCTCTGGGACTCAGGTCTGAAGGCTGGACCACCAATGACCCCGCTGTGCGTGGGGAGCGAGAGCTCGTGAATTAAGTGACCTGATCCCAACTCAGATTTTGGACCCTAAAGATCCTAAGAGGCCCGAAAGCCTTACGCCATTAGTGCCAGAAATCACGTCAGGGAGGAAGTCCGGCTCCTTGGATTTGCACACGGGGAGCCCGAGGTCTAGAGACGGCAGGACTCTTGCCCAAGATGCCACAGCTCTGCCCTTGGTGGTCCCGGCGCTGTGGGAAGGAGGCTCTGGGAAGCAGGACAGAAGCGAGCGGACCACGCCCCCCCACCCCACGAGGGCCTCTGTGGAAGCCGGGTGGAGTGCAGGGCTGGCACGAGGAAGGGCTCCAGTGTCGCTTCCCTGTCCCCTCCTCCCCCTCCCATGAGAGGCCTCAGCACACCCTGCAGAGGGAAGACTTCCTTGTAGCTGCGCATCCCTGCGTGGAGCAACAGCGCATGAAGCTAAACGGGCTGGATGATGGGACGTGCAAACACGGTCAGGTGTGAACAGCACTGCCCCGATGCCGACCTGAGCACTGACAAATGTGCCAAGGGTTCTGGACACCGACACGAGGGGAAGCCCCGGGAAGGGTGTGCAGAAACACTCGGTACTGTCTTGGCCACTCTTCTGTAAATCGAAAGTTGTTTTAAAAAATTACACAAAGTCATTCACGCCCCCCCCCCCCCGGGCTGCTCTCGGGGTGACCCTGGGGCTCTGAGGGGCACCAAGGGCTCCCCAGCAGAGGTGAAAGCACAGAACGGAGGGCTTGGAAGCAGAGGAAAACAGAATAAGAAAAGTCATATCTAAAATTTGATTTTTAAAACATTATCAACAAAACGCATTATCAATGATTTACTATAAAAACCCAGTGACTCAGCAGGTGAGAAGGAGCGCTGAACAAAGAGGGTTCAGAAAGATGACGGCACAAGGTCAAACGCCCGCAGCACACGGACCACGCAGGGTATTTTTCCAGTTTCTCCTCGGGAACTCAATAAGGGTCTGTCGTTTCCCCTTCCTTAAAACGTCCACTTCAGTTTATGAGACACGTCCCTCCTTCGGCAATCAAGCCTCACCCAGCTGGACAAAAAAAGACACGGAGGCAGCAAAACAAGGCCCCGCGTGAGCAGATGTCACCGCACAAGCAGCCCCGCTGACCAGGGCTCGCTGGGGACAGGGTGGGCAACGGGCCTCGCTTCCCTCCGTCCCCGTCTCCCGAGCGGCAGGACACCGCCTCAGGCAGCCTCACGCCGGGGGGGACGCTGCAGCCCCCGGTGTCCCGGGCCGGGGGCAGCGCCCAGACTGCAGGACCCAGCCGGCGACGCCTCCGTCTCCACCGGCCCGCTCACGACGCGTCACCGGAAGCTCTGAGGCAGCTCGCCGAGAACCCGGAGGCTCCCGGCACCTCGGGGACCGCACCTGGTTCCCGACAAACCACAGGCCCACACGGCTGACCACAGTCCACGGAGCTCCCGGGCGCCGTCGTGACGGCTGCAGAAGCCGCGGCGGCTTAGAGGCACCGAGAGCAGCCCGGGCCGCCCCCGCGGGCTTCGCCCGGCCCCTCACGCTCGCCGCCTCCCGGCTTCCTGCCCCGACGCCGCACCCGGCGGCTCCTCTGCCTGCTGCCCATCCCCGCCGCCTGCTGAA